GCCCAAGGACTGAGCCACCCAGGCGCCCCTGGGCTTCAGTTTTCTTAGCCAGGTATGGTAGCCATACCTGCCTGACACACTGTATCAGTAAATGTCAGTTGCCTTGTAAATCAAATTTGTACGTACTGTACTCATTTTGTAGTGGATCACAGCTTGATTCAGAAGGCATTTGGAGAGCCAAAAGGATGAATCACCTCTCGTTTGGATGGGCCAGGCCAGGGGATTGATTTGTCTACGTTAGGAGTGAGGGGCTAACTCCAGCACCCAGTCCTGAAGCTGTCACTCACGGTCATGAAGAGGGTGCTACCCTGCCATTAGGTGGATGCTGGCGGCGTGACCTTCTCAGTGGGATTCATTCTGTGCCCTTGCTCTGACATTGCAGGGGGCATCCCATTCATCTTGACGGGCGAGTTCTTCCAGCAATCCCAGCGGCCGGCGGCCTTCATCATTGCGGGCACCGTCAACTGGCTCTCCAACTTCGCTGTTGGCCTCCTCTTCCCGTTCATTCAGGTATGACTGACAAGGGGTCTCCTGTCCATGGCATGCCCTCTGATTCGGCAGCCCTCTGTGTGAGGGGTGAGTCACAGAGCAGAGGCTGAGTCTCTCACCTGGAAACTCACACTGTTGGCCTAAGAAAGGCAGAGATGTACCTTGGCTCCAACCCTGAATCCTCTTTCTCCCTCCTGCACCTTCCAGGATCTGCTCCTAAACACAAAGGCTGCTCAGAGGGAGTGGGCTTCCCATCGCCAAGGGTCTGCAAGGAAACTTAGGTTAGAATCTCGAACCTGCACTTTTGCAATGTGCTTGTCACGGTGTTAGACCAAATCCATGTTATAGTTACAGTGCACCCTGTCGTGCATCTGACATCCTCATTGTCATCATCATAACCAAGCTGATGAGGTCACTGTCCCAAGGGTGACCACGGCACACAGGAAAATGTGAACTCAGGAAATGGATACGTTCTTTGTGTGTAGGTCAAGAATCTATTCATTCACCCACTCATTTATTCAGCACATATTTATTGAGTCCCTACTCTGTGCCGGGCACTGTTTCAGGCAGTGGGGATAGAGTGGGAACAAAAATTTGTGTTCTGTGGTCCTGGAGCTGAAAAGGGAAACAGAAACCTGAGTGAAGTGAAGCAGCCCAGGAATGGAGAAGTCCAGGCAGGGAAACAGCAAGTGCAAGGGTCCTGAGGCAGGGCCATGCTTGGCCTGTGTAAGAAACAGCAAAGAGGCCAGTGTGGCTGGAACAGAGTGAGCAAGGAGGATGGGAGAGGCAGGAAATGAGACCAGAGAGTTCTCTGGGGGCAGGAACGCAAAAGACAAGGACTTTACAAGTGTTCTGCGCAGAGCCAGGGGCCACCAGCTGCATTCCAAAGAAGGTCCAAGCTTCTCTGCTCTGATGCCCCCAGGGGTCCCCACTGCCCATGATGGAGGTGAGAATCTGCCAGATGTCTCTGAGGAAGAACCACCATCCCTTCTCAGGGGCTATTTCAACCGTCCCCCCATCCCCCGCGGTTAGTAGTCTGCCTCTTAACTGACTAGCTTCAAGCACATCCCAGAGACTCTGCTGGCCTTGGCTGAGTCCAAGGTCAGCAGCCCCGGCCACGGGCCCACGTGATGGTTACTCCTGCATCACAGAGCCATCACTCTGCTCCAGGTCCCCTGCACGTGGCTTTTCATGTGCTCATGACATCCACGCAGCGCTGAGCTGGGGTTTCCTGTCCTTCCCGCTTTACTGCAGAGAGGCTGAGGCTCAGGGAATGGACACCGTCAGCCCGAGGTCCTACGGTCACCATCCGCCCCAGTCACTCTGCCCCGCGGCCTCTTACTGGTGGACATTCTCTGTCTGCCGTTCATTACTCTCAGAGTTGGAGGTGGACTCACCACGTGACTCGTACAGCATCCCTGACTGCATCTTAACCACAGGCACCCTGCCTCTGAGTGTGCGTGCTGTGGGGGACTCCTTGGGCCCCACACCCATTTCCTCCCGTCCTCGGGCATCTTTGGCCGGGGCGGCCAGAACATGACAAGTAGTCTTTTCAATAGACTTCAAACCTGAAATGGCTTCTTCCTGTTTGGTTCAAAGCCAGCAGAGCCAGGGGCCAGTAAAATATTCATTGTTGTGGGGAAAATGAACATCAAGCCTCTTCTCTGTCAACACAGGTCCACCCCTACCATTTAAGTGGAGAAATTCCAGAGCCCTCACCTGGCCCACCACTAAGCTTTCTGTATCTGGGCGGTAGGCCACTGTCTTCTGCACAGTTTGGGGCAGGGGGTGGGGGGGGTTAAAAGACTTCACTGTACCCCCCCACAAAACACGCCGTCTCACTTTCGCACCACGGTTTGGGAGCGGACGGCACGGACATGCCATCGTAACACTGACATTTGCTGAGCGCTTGCTCGTGCCAGGCTCCACTCATCCCCTGTCAATGCTGGGAGGTCAGGCCTTCGTGCCTCCCTGGGACAGACCAGCAGCCCGGGGCTCAGACAGAGGCAGCCAGTCCCCAAGGTCACCCCCGTGGGAAATGACGGAGCAGGATTTGAACCCAGGCTCTCACCCTTGCCTATAAGACAAGGGAAGGAAGGAGCCCTTGTTGTACAGTAAGGTATTCCATCCTACAAGTCCCTTTGAACTGGGCGAGGAGTTAATTTACGTTTAAACACACACACACAGGCACACACGTGCTCACACACACACACACACACAGGCACGCATGTCAGGGAGGTCTCCAAGCTGCTTGGATCCATCTGACCTTCCCTTCACATTGTTCATTTGGGAAACCACAGCCCATCCGCGGCTTCTCCCAAACAGAAACGTCGTGCTGTCTCTCCCTTGAGATGCTCCCCCCGACTCCGTGTGCGGGGAGCCAAGCTTGTGCTGAGCTCTGGGGAGCTGTCCTAGCCCCGCCTGCTCAGCTGCATTACTCGGCAGGGAAGGGTGCGGGAGAGGACAGTGGCCACGACGGGCAGGTCCGTGTGCAGTCACGCCATTGCGTGGAAGGTCTTATTACCCCCACTTGTCAGTAGGGACGGGTTGGGTTTGCTGCAGGAAGAAAGAGCCCCCAAGTCTCAGTGGCTTTAAACCAGCCGGGATGCTGGCTTACTCATGCCAGGTGTTCATTGCGGGGGGACTAGAGATTCTGCCCCAGGGCCTCCCGACTCAGTCCCGGCCGGTGGAAGGAGTGTGGCAAGTCTCACACCATCCATTAAGGCCATCACCTGACGGCGACATGGATTACCACTGTGCAGATTGAGTGAAAGCCGCAGCACCACACCTTACCCCAGGGGAATGGCAAAGGGCCTTGTGTCCAGGGGGAAAGATCCAGAAATCTTGTATCCTTCCGTAATGACTGCCACAGCCCACCCTTTGAGGAGGAAAGTCAGATTCAGCAGGCTCAGGACACTTGCCCACGGCCCCGGACCAGTGAGAGGAAGAACATGGTCACACCCATGGGTACCACCCCCACGTGCCCTTCTTTGACCCCCAGGGCTTTTGTGTGTGTCAAACTCCTTTTCACGATAACCCAGTTTCTGACAGCCTTGACCACATGTTTGGGGGATCATGTTCATTCCAACTGGCTCACTTCCAGCGGGGTGCCTAGGTGCCTGAGAGGTTTCTGGGGCCACAGCTCACCCCGGGACACCCTGTTGTGATGTGCTGGAGTGTCTGAGGGCAAAGCAAGACCAGGATTCCCAGGGGTTAGCGGGTCCTTCTGCAAGAACCCCGAAGGAGCCCCTGAGCATGCTGACACTGTCACTGTGATTAAAAATGCCATCCATTCACGCTGTGGGGATGAAATCATGTGCCAGATTGCACACAGAAAGCCCGAGGGCCGCTCAGAGCCTGGCCTGGAGCAGGGGAATAAGGCCAGGACCAAGTTTAAGGGCTCAGGGCCAAGAGGAGTGCCACCTGCTCACAAAGCTGAGGGCCCCCGTGCACACAGGACACACGTCTGCATGCCTGTCTTAGAACATCCAGACCAGCTGCCTCCTCCCAGACACGTCAAGGGCACAGGACTCACAGGAGAGCTGTGGGCACCCTCTTTACAGGCTTAGGTTTGGGGGCTTGGGGCAAGGCAAGGAGAAGGGCAGGGGAGCTGCAAAGAGAGACGAGTGTTGGGGGGTGATCTGGAAGGCAGGTCTCCAAGGATCCATGCCCCGAGAGGCATTGGGCTCAGATCTGGCCACTGCCTTTGGCATTTCAGGGCTAAAGCTGGAGAGATAGGTGGCTCCCACATCAGAGAGACCACCTGACCTCGGCCTTGACCTTGCCTGGTAATGTCTGCAGCCACCCAAGGGACATGGGCAGGTAGTTGGGGGATCCAAGGATGGATAGATAGATAGATAGATAGATAGATAGATAGATAGATAGATAGATAGACAGTCTGATGGATTGCTAGAGGATGGAGGGAGGAGACAGGACAGGTTGGCTTAAGGACATTCATCAAACACTTACACAGGAGTTTGTCCAGAGGTGGGAGAAGGGCATTGCAGGGCAGAAGGACTGAGAGCAGCACTGAAGATAAGAAGGGGTGAAACAGAGAAACACAGACAACAGAGGAATGTTGCCTGGTCCAGCAGTGACAGTAGGTCAGGAGGTGCAGAGCCTGTGAACTCAGCCCTTGCCCCTGGGGGTGGAGGGCATCAGGATGGGGCGCTGGAGGGAGAGGGAGGGAAATCATTAGGCAAGTAAGCTGACACACAGCACGCTATAACTCAGGACTGGCTGGGAGCCCCTGAGCTCCCACCACAGGGCAGGGGAGGGCAGCGGAGGGGAGGCTGAGGACGTATCAGCCACTCCACCAAGTGGGTCCCTCAAAGGGGGCAGAACACAAGAGCCAGCTTTCGGTAGGGTACAGTTGCTGACGGTCTTCCTCGTCTTCCCCTTCCTCTCCATCTTCTCCTTTTCCTTCTGTTTATTCCTTCTCCTCGTACACACAGTCTGGTTCGCAACCCCCCACCCACCGGACCCTCCCACGGGAGCAGCTTCTGCCACTGCAGACTCCACAGCTGACCGGCTCCATTCCACAGCCCTTCCAGAAGTCCTCTCAGCCGCAATCAAGAGCCTGCCTTAGTCTGTTCATGCCGCCGCAACCATGTACCCCAGACTAGGGCTTAAACAACAGGAATGCGTTTTCTCACAGTTCTGGAAGCCAGAAGTTGGAGAGAAAGGTCTTGGCAAAGTTGATTTCTTCGGAGACCTCTCTCCTTGGTGTTGTAGACAGCCATCTGTCCCCGTGTCTTCACACGGTCATCCCTCTATGCGCATCTGTGTCCCAGTCTCCTCTTCTTCTAAGGACACGAGTCAGATTGGGTCAGAGCCCAGCATAGGACTTCATTTTACCTTAATCCGCTCTTTAAAGACCCTCCCTCCACATACAGCCCCATTCTGAGATGCTCGGGTTAGGACTCCAACATAGGAATCCTGATGGTGGACACAATTCAGCTCACCAGGCACCAAGTGCAATTTTTCAATCGCATTTTGATCTTTTCATTTTTTTCCTAAAT